ATTTATGTATTAATTTGAGTAATTAAAAGATTAGCATAATGCGTTAGCTTCAGAATCTATTCTGCTTCCATACTTTTTCATTTACCAACAAAATTTTCACGTTAGGAGGAAATTTTGAGGTAAGAGATAACAGTTTTTCTTCCTTTCACTCTTCATCCATTTACATGCCATGTGACTTGGATTTAGTCGTTCTATTGATTTTGAACCGTTTCAAGTTTCAGTTTCCAATTCAATAAGAAAGCACGTCTTCCTTTGTGGTTGTATCAAAAGTTAGTGCATAAAAAATTAAGTAAATTAAACATATTTATTTGGCAAATCAAAGAAAAAATTAGAGAACATTTTATGATTATATTTCATTTAATCAAAATGCACGTAAAATCCATGCAAATTATTCACACATATTGTACTTACAATCTCTGCTTTATTTGGAAATAAATAAAAATTAAGTTTGTTTGTTGTTTTATGTGTGTGCATAATTAACATACATTTATTACATATGCAGTCCCTTGAGCTCAAGTACAGTGTGGAGAAACATTTCCAATGTCAGTGTACTGGACATTGTTACATACGGCCTTGGTTGTTTTATCTCCTGATAGCTGCAAATCCACATCTTGCAGCAGGATCCCTTGACATGGATGGTTCTGGCTGCAATCAAATTTTATTGCTGCATTAGAAGCACTGATTCCCTTGATGTTCTTGTACACTACATTTTTCACTTGGACTGCCGAGCTCTGCAACCATCAACAAGTTTTTTTTTTTTTTTTGCATAATCAATATATAAATTGATCACGTTAAATTGATTATATATGATCTGGTTCCATAGTATTAATTACCTGTTGTTTGCAGGGTTCATTTTGATCACAGTAGTTCTGGTCTATGATTATGGGGTTGATCACATTATTCATTTCAATGTTTTGAAATTTAATGTTGATGGCACTTCCTGAACCTCCCTGTCCGTCACAATGTATAAGTAAAAATTTCAGTGTCAGGCATGGTACGGTTAAGACAGGCAGCTGTATACTATGGACTAAGTGACATGTACAAGGAAGGGATCAGCAGAAGCACTTACCTGCCATGTCTTGATCCTGACTCCATTTTTGGTCCCAGAAAGCCTGGCTCCATTAACAGTCACTCCTGATACATGAGCTTCTGAATTCCCAGATCCCAAACTCCCAATACTAAGTCAATTGATTGAAATGAGAAAGATATGTGTTAGTGATTATATACATGCAGAGTAAGAACTATATTTGATGCAGAAATTCAGACCAACCTGATTCCATGACCAGGACCACAACTTATATCTGTGGCGAGCACATTCTGTGATCCACTTACAATGGAGATGCAATCATCACCTTCAAAATTAAAAACTTAATTCTGATAATGAAACGGTAATTAAAAAAATCAAACAATGCACTGAACAGTTTAATTAATGCATTGCAGAGGCTGTGGAATGTTGAGGCTTCAGGTTCAAATCGTGCCTTGTGCAGGTTATATTCCAATTTCATGTCAGTCTTTTACCTGTTCCTATCACAGAGCTTGTAATCTGGATGTTTTGTGTATTTGTGACATGAATCCCATCCGTGTTGGGACTTGTCTCTGGCGCAGTCACAGTCAGACCAGAAGCTTGAACGTTGCTGCTATCTGAGAAAGAAAGATGAATCTGCTGCGCATCTTGAATCTTCAAGTTCCTTACTATAAGGTTTTTGCATTTGGAGAAGGTCACAGCCTGAAACATACCAAGGTTATAACTAATTAAGAAACCAAAATGCATGATTGATGTGTATTGGCACATTGAGTCACATATGTTGATACATACCGTTGGTGCATCCTTGCATGGCTGCAAAACAATAAAAGGAAAAGATAAACATGGTCAGTACTGTTAGATTAAGTAATTAAAAGGAAATTTTTGATGATTTTGTAGTAAAGGGAGACTTACAAGGGTTTTGTTGATCTTGCATGAGTTTTGCCACCAGATTTTTCCATTGCCATTGATAATTCCACCACCTTGAACTGAAAGATTATGAACTCCATCAAATTCAATCCAGTATCTGCCGTCCTTGTAGTCTGATCTATCATTGGATGCTTCCAAGGTTCCATATATCTGAAATATCAGTTAGTTTAGTTAATTATACATCCATCTAAAAAGGGTTTTCTTTTTTTTTTTTTTTTTTTTAAATGTAACACTGGGGAATTTAAGGGAAGGGGAAACTTTTACAAAGCAAAGATGTAATCTCTGGGACTTGATCCATGCTACTACCATGGATTTTGGTGCACTATCCAATGCAGCTGACGCTGCAAGTGCCATCCGCTGCATTAGTTAGTTCAAACATGAGGAGGACATGGGTTTTTCTTGTTAGATGTGAGTTAAGGGGAAGTCACTGGCAGGCGTTTTCCAGCGTCATGGTGCCCTCTGTGAATCTTATTAAATTGTTGCATCAAATTTCTATCAGAAATGGCTTCACAACCGAGGCCATTTTTGTGAGGTTGAAGAACAATTCTGATCTATATTAAAAGCATCTAGCATTATTGAGTGCATATGCAGAATTTGTTGATAGAATAATCATCAATGCATCAATCATGAAAGCCTCAAATTACAGTTTGAAGTGGTATAATCAACTGAATGTTGAAGAAAGGTTTGCATCGGCAATTCAATGCTCATATGCAACATTCCACCGTGCAGCTCAAAAAGAAACGGAAGTAAAAAAAAAAGGAAAAAAAGTAATACAGTTCCATCCCTAGTGAGGAGCATTTTAGAGAATTGATGTACCAGACCCTTCTAAGCTCTTGAAGTACCAGAATGATCCCTCTCAACATGCTCCACAAGGGCTACTGGGTCACGGAACCCTTTGCTACACTTTGGACAAACATCGATAGACATATTGAAGACACGAGACTGGCTGTTGTTCCTTTCATGTTCTTTCTCAACATGCTCCACCAAAGCAGTAACTGAGGAAAATTTTGCACCACACTGTGGGCATTCCTCCATTTCCCCTGTTCCTGCCCTCCCACTGCTGCTGCTGCTACTACTACTACTCTGCCCCATTCCATCCCTTGCTGACTTCCACACTTGGCTAATTTCACCACTCAATTTTACCATGCGTGCTTCAGCCGAGGCTCGAGCAGTTGAAGCTGCATTGAGAATGCTAGACCACCTAGAAGAAGATGTGGATGAAGCACGGTTGGGCCTTGGCTCTTCCTTTCTACTCCTATTTAGAAGACTGATAAATTGAAAACCTGAATTGGGTTTCTTGGGTCCTGGACATTTGTGGTCAGGCCCAAAACGGTGCTTCAAGCAATGGTCTCTGGTGCAGTCCCTACATTTTATAGTGTTTGAGAAGGTCAAGACCTCCCTGCAGCCAGGCACCGGACACTTTTTCTTCCTTCTGACTTTATCATAATTAGATGGATCACATTCTATATTAACATGAGCCTCCCAAGTGATGTTAGGATCCTCATCAGGATTTAGACGAACTCCTTTAGCACAAAGTGGACAGACGACAACAGTAACATCTTTCTTGTCAGCTTTTGGGCAATGGTGTTTAATGTAGCTTCTGTGTTCCAAGCAATAAACCTGTGAAAAGATTTTCGCGTATTCTATCAAAACGAAGAGAAAGATAAAAGCAAATAGGTATCAAAAGAATTCGACATAGCATTGTTATGAGAATAATCCACAACCGAAAAGATCAAAAAAGAAAAAGGTTGAACAGAACTCAGTTTACTACAAACTTGTCCATTGCACCATCTCATTAGTTTCTCTATACACTAACTTCAAAAAATCAAAGCACAATTAGAGGTAGAAGACATGAAGACAGAGACCAGAAATTACTAGGTCCCATTAACGGGAAAATATTGATCAATTCAAATTGGAATTACTCTCACCTTAAATTGGTTTCCTTACATAAGACATGGATTTCCCTTTTTCTTCTTCGTTTTATTTTTTTATTTTATTATTATTATTATTTTCCTATGATAATGAGTTATGCAACATAGAAAGCCCCCTTTTCCCCAATCCCTCCCCACCTGTTGAATGCTCGAAGTTAAGACCTCCAACAAACAATAAAAAACAAACAAACCATCCATTGAGCCATAAAAGGAACATGATAGAATTTTAAAAATAACCCCTTAACATATTAAAATTGTACTAAGCAGCTGTGCAGTTAACCAACCCCAACTCCTCAAGCATTGACCAACACTATTCACCTAAACCACCCTTACATGAATTCATCAAATTTAATAATTCTCTTGATTCTAACAAGAATTCAATCCACACCCAAGAAACACACAAGGAATAAATTTTGAAACTTGAAGTAAACAAGAAAAAATAATTAAAAATTTTGCTACTTTGAATCAACCCAACCTTGTTTTCGAACTCAACACCAAAGTAATCCTACATCTTCTTAACAACATAACAGAATTAAACTAAAAAACCTAAAAAATATAGAAAATAAATAAAACAAGAAAAAGGAGGGAAATTTCTAGACGAATATAGAAAGAGAGAAAATGGGTACCTGGCGGCAGCGATCGCAAGTGAAGGGCAAGAAGTCGATCTGCTTACAATCGTCAACGCTGCAATGCTTTCCAAGGTCAGGGAATTCTGGAGTTCCCATGGAAATTCAGAGCCGGGAAAGGAAAGTGGAGAAGAGATTGCAGCGAAATCCAAAGAAGGAATTCGGGATTAACGGGAAGAATGTTTTGGATGCCCTGGATTTGTTGCGAGGATTAAGAATCGTCTCTCTGAAGCATTAGAATCCCCCGGATTTAGAAAGAAAACGAAGAAGCCGCGAAGTCAAGAAGGTGGAAGGGTGAGGTCGTTGAAGAATAGACTTCCATTAGAGACTTTATAAAAGGAAAATAAATTAATTGACCATATGCACAAGAGAAAGGAAAAAAAATAATTTTTAAGGCATGTTTGGTTTAACGAAGCTAACACCCAACAGTTTCTTTTTTGCCCTTTTTCATTTTTTTATATTTTGTTTTTGCTTTGTCAAAGCAAAGCCAATGTTACTTTTTAGTATTTAATGTATTTATCGGTAAGTTTTAGAAATGTTATGTTATGAGATGTTTCTTTTTTTTTTTTAACACTTGCTTAAGTATTTTAAGTGTTAAATTTATGTGAACAAATTTTAAATTTAAGAAAAAAAAAAAGTGCCTAAAAGCCATAAAAAGAGGTTTTGCCAAACACACCTTCGTGTATTTACATCCTAATTCCCAACTCACACGAAATCGATCAAAAAGAAAAAGATTGATATACTTACTATTTCACAAACTTATTTTGTAGTTAATCGTACGGACACACGGTAAAACATTTAATTATTGAATGATTGATACTCAATAATAAAAAGTCTGTCCCTTCATCGATGAATCAATAAAAACGGTACTCTTAACTTTTTATAATTATGTTAGAAAAAATTATTTTATAATTTAAATTACGTTAAATTA